GAAACTACAGTGGCCACAAAAAACACAAAGGGTCCCATCTAGAGTCGTGTTTGGTTTATCTGCTCTGTAGAAACATGGTGGTTTAACATGGTGGACTCCGCCAGAAGCGGACCCACTCCCTCTGTAGATAAAAATGTCTCATTCTAACTATTCCTTTATTCAGGTGATTATACACTAATAAAAACATACCTTTGAATATTATATTACATTTCTGACAATAGATCATCCTAAATGTTACACACTGGACCTTTAAATACTATTATACTGGTTTAAAGTGGAGCTGATAAATGTCCTCAAGCGAAGAATGCATGATTATTTTTTAAGTAATTTATGTTATATTTCATTTATATGACGCAATCGTTGCTGTGTTCCCTGATCTCAGTTATTAACTTGATGAGTATCTTGGTATTATTTCTGATAGGAAAGATGGACAAAACTACAAAAACATCAGATTTTGTCCACTATAGTTTTCATACAGGTTTGTCCTGTTCAGTCACAAGCCGACTGCCCACTAACTGCTGTATTCACTATAAAACTGAGTATCTATTACCCTGCACAGTCAAACATTTAGAAACCTACGTTAGAAAATAAAATGAGCTGAATAAAACATGAAATCCCCTCCATCAGGTTTACTAAGCCTCTGTCGTACACTGCCTGGCCTGTAGGGGGTGCAGGATGCCAGCGAGTTGGAGCTGGAGGGGACACACAGGGAAGATATTGTCAAACACATACACTCACTGACAGGAACAGACTGTGTGTGTGAGGACGACACACTGCAGTCTTTAACGCTGTTACTGTAGGCTGAAGGCAGGTGTGGGTTTTAGACATTAATGCAGAATACAGCTTGACTGACATACGCAGGGCTGCAAACAATAATTAAAAAACAATTCAGTTTTTCAGTCTCTTTGTAGTCGCATGGTACTGTCCAGTCCAGTAGACAGCAAAGACAAATTTCCACATTTCATAAAAACAAGCAACCAGGCAGCTTTATAACAATAAAATCTGCATAGAAATCTACATATTTAGAGAAACTGACAAAAGCTATAAACTACATAGTTCACACTGATGTTTCCTGTTCACAGATTGGAGTCCAGTGGAAGTTGCAGCTATGTAGAGTGTTCATTTTTTGCCATAGAGCTGATTAGATCCGACCCTAACGACTATTAATTCCAACCAGTAACCAGTATCAGGTTCAATTTCACACGTTTATAACAAACCCAATTTGATTAAAATATGTTCAGAATTTAGTGAGTCTGAACGTCTCAGGATTGTTTAACTATTGGATCTGACCTCCACAATAAGGCGACCTCGCAGAAGTATAGCAGATTTTGACACATTTTATACCGTCAAAAAGAGAACTTTGTTGCTGGCGTAACCTGTTGGTCCAGAGTCGAAGAAAAATTAAGAGAAGATGCTGAATTTTAAACAAACTTAGTGAAAAAGCTCTGAGGCAAAAAGGATATCAATGAGACAAATTGAAGGGAAAGCGAGAGGAGAGAAAAATGATTAAACGCAGCTCAGTTCTTGAAGAGGCCCTACAGATGTCAAGCAGTGACAGTAATATTATGTAATTAATTGTTAATGGCAGCATTAAGAGGCTCGCTCCCTGATTGAATTTGCAAGCGGCTACAGCTCAGGCTGACTCGAAAAGCAACAGTAAAATCCCTGTCGATGTCAACTGTGTTTCAAAGAAATGTCGACATTTTCTGTGTTTTCTTACAATCAGTGGTTAAATTCCCATCAATCAGTGTCCTTGGTTTCCCGGGAAGGCTCTCTAGAGAATTAATTAGCGACAGCAATCACAGACAACAGGACTGCAAGTTTAAATTACCATCAATTAAAACAGAAACACCATGAAATAATTCAAATTGAGAGAGAAACGACTGCTGCGTCGGTCTGACAACAAGACTGAATAAATCGAAATGTACGTCGCGCTGCTTCAGTTTCTATGTGGCATTGTTCGTACACCGTCACATAAATTCGTGGAAAAAAACATCTTCTGGTAAAAGTTGCACAAGCAGCAGACAGCTCTGTCTCTGACGTATGTTTTTGTCAATGGACATAAAGAGCGGCAGACAAACCTGTGACTATAGAAAAACCTTTTGCATGTTTGTTTCCTCTCTCTGTGCTTTTCTACCAGTGTTGTGACAGACATTCCTTAAACTGTCAGGCCATTGTGGCTCAGACCTTCAGGCGCCTTACTATTGATCGCTTGTAATGTTTAAGTGATGTAGGAACTGCAGCTTATTCTACTGTTGCACTCAGTATAAGACCTGTTTATTGGCTGTCAGCCAAGACCCTGAAATGTACGATGCCATTTAGAAAAGCATTAAATCATTTGTATACGGGCTACTTCTTAGCAGGAAGACAAACATTTCACGTCATTTCAACATCTGGGTGTTAATTGTTGCGATTTCCCCTCCTGATGATGAACAGTGAGTTATCACCAATTAAAGGTGGCTGTTATTTCAACCTTGTTATAGTCCTATTTTTAGTTTCTCACTGGAGAGCTGATGTGATTATACAGCTTGTTATATAGTAAATAATCAAGTTTTTGTTGCATTTATCATCAACGGCAGCACTGTAAAACCTGATGAGTTAGTTCAAATCAAATTTTGAGGAAACCAACTGCCTTAAACAATTTAAGTCAAAATGAAAATATTTGATTTGAGAACAAGTAAATCAAGTATTTATTGTTAAGGGTAAATTAAGTCAATTGCTAATTCCACTCAGTTAATTGAAGTTAAAACTAGTGAGTATATTACACTCCTTCACCAGACTTATTTAAAATGTCTTAACAGACTAACTTAACTGCATCTTCTTTATATAAATGTTTCCACTTAAGTTGAATTTATTCAGTTTTCCTCCACTAAAGAAAATTGGCTTCGGGTCATAAAATGGACATAAAGGACTCTCATTATTAATTCAGCAGTGATAGAGTTGGTGCAAATAGTAATGCAGAAGAAGAGTGATGCGCAATGTGTGTGTGTTCAGGACTGTGTACCAACATTAAATCTTTAAAGCGTTACCAGGAAAAGGCCCCTGGGAGCCCGTGATGTTCACTCCAATAATGACTCTTCAGCTCAAATGGCCCCCAGTGGCAACACCATCCTCTGACCTTTCACACTCAACTGCTGTCACTTCTATTACTGCTGCTACTACCACCTAGGAGGGCAAGGATGATTACATATCTTTTTTTTTGTTGGTAAAAATACATAAATAATTACCTCATTGCCACATTTATATATTAGCTCAACAAGCATTACTGCAGTTAGCAGCTATAGACATGGCTATGGCACCTTTTCTTTATATGGACTCAGACAGACTCGTACAGATTATATGACACATCAGGGTTCGTATCAGTCATCAAAGTGCTAAAATATAGACTATAACTAAAGTTACTGTAGTAAAAGCAAAAAATTAATTGTTAACTTGCTATCATAGCTACAGTTATCATGTTAACATGCAATCTGGCGTTTTTTAGCGCAAAACATTTAGTTTTTTTAGCATGCCCAAAGTTTTACATATTAATTAAATTTAGTATAATGTTTAGCATGTTTGTTGACACGCTAACACAGAACATGAAATATTTTAGTCATCGACATAAAAAAAGATGAACGCCTTCTTTCCACTGTTCAAAAAAAGAAGCAAAAATATCGCAGATACGGCCGCTGCCATCTTTCTTTCCATTTGAAGTCTTGGAGTCTGTGCACTAGTGATCAGGGTATCGAGGTCCTGCCCATACGCCCGGCTGACTCAATGTCGAATACGACTCAGCTGTCAATCATGACATGACTTAAACTATTTGCATTTGATTTTTGACGATCGCCAAAGTCATCAAAGAACATGATATCTTAACAAAATGTCCTCCATCTCATACATGTTGAGAATATTCAATCAAGACCAAACTGCATACTAACAAACAGAGTGACATCACCCTCCCCAGGGCCACACCGCAAGCAGAGCTAAAATTATTAAATACGACTAAACCCACTAATTTAAATATCTGCACAGGCATTTCCTCCTGAAGCTGCTGAGGATAAAAAGCGAGTGAAGCCCGGACCCAGAGCAGCTCAGCGGAGCAGAAACCTCAGCGAATCTCAGCGGGGCTCGGCTGTTCACTCTGTAATTGTCCAATTTATGCGAACCGTGCTGAGTGGCGGAGCGGCGACAAAGATTTTGAAATCCCAGGAGGGAAAGACGGTCACCGGGTGGCGACGGTGTGCCGCGTTCGCACGGCGGCCGCCTATGTGATAAGAGAGCTCATTTAATTTCCTCTGTGTGCTGGGAGGCTGCATATCTGTGTGTATCTGTGTGTGTGAGAAAATGAATGTAAGTCCAAGGAAGTGTGCAGACACAAGAAGTGTGTCGCTGCCGGTCTGTCTGGAGGTGTGTCTGTGTATTGTTGGGTTTTATTTGCTGTCCTCCTGTCACTTCTCCTGCTGTCTGTGTCATGACTCCTACATGCAATAAAGCAGGTTATGAGTCTGAAAGCTGCAGAGAGAAGAAGGAGACAGATCTTTATGTACATTGCATTAAGGCTGCGTTCACAACTAGCATGTTAGCAGTTATTTTAATCTTTCTTTCCTTTTATTTTCTCTATTTAGGTGAAAACTAAATAAAGCCTGAAAATAATTCTTTAGTGTGAATACTGTCACTGCAGGAAATGAAAACACAAGGGTAGAAGCAGACAGACAGGTATACTACACATATTCAAAAACATCTGGATCTGACGATTATTTAGCTACAAAGAGACAAAACGGAAAGTGAAGAGCTTATGGAGAGAGAAACATGTTCTCACTTCCAACCCATCAAACACTGATCTCAACTCTGCAGTTAAGTTAACAACAATAAATGTGCAAATATGGTTAGACTTTCAAAATAAAGCTTGCAAAATTGCAAAAATAGTTGCAAAGGCAACTTGTTCCAGTGAGAATAAAATTGCTAGTTTGGTGACGTATGGCTCAACATTTGGGTGGGGGACTGGTATGATTTGTGAAACTTGTAGGTAAAACTACAATGATTGATAAAATTCAAGGAAAGAAAAGATAAAAAAATACTCAGATAACTCCATTTCTCTGGTAACACCTGAAGGCTTGACTAGTACCTGGAACAATCATAACCATTATGCTAGCTGACGTCTGCTAATGGATTTTCATTGTATGGTGATTACTGGGAATTGTGTGGAAGGCAGGAAACATTCAGTCAAATGTAGTAAAACATGCTCCTTTACTGCTATAACACCACATATGTTAATGTCTGTTAAAAGGTTTCAGTCTCTGCTAAGCTACTCACACCAACACGGGTCGGACAGCGTTGTTCATGTTGCCGTAGGCCGCCCTGCCCAGCAGCTCTCTGAAGCAGCTCTCTGCCAGCGCCGCTGGGTTCTCCTCGCCATCCTGACCCACCACTGAAGGCGTGCTGGGGTGCCCCGCCCTGCCGGAGAGAGACAGACAGTTTAGAAAGGGAAAAAAAATCTGCAGGTTGGATCAGTGCTGTTTTAGAAACGTCTTATAAAACATCCTAAAATCAACTTTAAAGGAATGGAAACAGCAGAATTATTTATCACTGAACTGATTTAGTTTAAAAAAAAAAGAAGCTGAATGAGTCTGCATAAGACTACAAGCCGAATATCAATTCTTCACATCGCACACAAATAATCTGTAAAGAGAGAGTGCAAGAACATTTACAGGAAAGAGAAAGCTTCAGGATATGAGAGAGATGGATGCAGAGAGAGAACAAATAAAGAATGAAGGACTAAAGATGGAGGAGAGACTGAAAAGAAATCAATCAGAGCAGCTGAAAAAAAGGGAGAAATCAAATGAAAGAGTATCGACCAGCCTCAATCAGATAGGTGTGTGGTGTGTGTGTGTGTGTGTGTGTGTGTGTGTGTGGGTGTGTGGAGTCAATCAGTCCACATCAGGAGATCAAAACACTGCAAAAAATGTGTGTGCAAGAAACTGTATCTAATATCAGGTAGCTGACACCAGAGAAGCTAAAACCTGCAGTTTTTATGACTTTTTATTTAATAAATGACAAATGAATCATTAATAATAAAGCTATGTTCAGTTCAGTTCAGATGAATGATAGATCAACCGTTGAATTGCCAGTGCCTTCATTGGTATTTGTCCTTATTCTGATGCCATTTTTTGGAGTATCTTCAAATAGGGCTGCAGTTTATGATTATTTTCATTACGGATGAGCTGTTTTATCCATAAAATGTCAGAAAATGATGAAAAACATTGAACAGGTCGCAGGTTATGATATCTATGGTAAGCTGCTTGTTTCGATGATAACTTAAGATCCAAACGATGACTAAAATCCTTCATCCGGTTCAAATCTAAAGTTAAAAAGCACCAAGATCTAAACAGTGGATGGTAAAAATGTGGCTTCAAACTGGATAAAAACTCAATGTATGACAGCTTCTGGCAGACAACCACAATGCTGACACATGCACAAAGGGGATATGACACCGCGACCGGTGAAACTCAGCGTTACCTGAATAAAATGACAGATTTCTCAGGGTTTGAATATTGTTGGAAACANNGCAGGCACAAAAGGGATATGACGCCATTGACAGGCGACTGGTAAAACGCAGCGTTACCTGAATAAGAAGAATCTGACTACTGCTGAGAAGAAACAGACAGTAAGAAACCCGGCTGCTGCTTTAAGAAACATGGCAATAAAAACAAAATTTTACTGATTAATATGATGCAAGAGGACTGAAAGGTAAGAAGAAAAGGGATGAAGGGGACAAAAGGCAGTGGAATCAAATGATAAACACAAAGATGAAAGAAAGGAATCAAGAAAATGGAGGGGAAGAGAAGACTGCGAGGGAGAGGGGGTGGACAGTCAATGGGAATTAAATCAGCATCCTGATGGACTGAAGGAGATGAGAGAGAGAGCTGCACGCTGAAAAAATAAAGAGCAAACAATGCAATTCTTTACCCGAAATCAGGATTTATGAGTCACACGTTTTCAGTTTCATTATAGATTCTTCTTAATATGTGTTAGTACGTCTTTAATCCATGAGGGTCGGAATATCTGAGCGCTTTTGGTTTAAATCAGGATTCACAGTTAATCTTATTTATATTACATAAGCGTATTCATATCTTTTCTTGAACTTATTTAATTTAAATCCAGAGGGTTGATTGCACAGAGGGAAAGTATTATTTTAAAGTTAGATGAATATTGTCAAAACACACTGATTAGGTGTTTTAGATCAGCTACTGTTATACTCTATATTCATTTATTCATTAATTTAAAGACTGACATAATATGAGTTTCATATACAAATCTACCAGAAGAAGAAGAGGCAAATTATGTTTGTAGTCAGTTTAATTTTTCAGTTTCTTATTTTTATACACAAAAGTCTTTGTCTCAAGGATCAATTCTGGGACCAATTTTATTCTCACTGTAGGTGGACATATCATTTATTTATTGTTACGCTGATGATACACAGTTTTAATCTTTCATTTATTCATTCAGTTTTATAGTAAATAGCAGAGTGAAACTTAATAATAAGTGTCAACTCTCTATTGCTAACTGCTAACCAAGATTAAGTCCTCAAATCTTCAAGACAATTTGGATCATTTGTATCTTCTAACTTTCAAACCATACGATTTAAACAAAAATCTGCTTCCTCTATTGTCAAGATTTGGTTTAGGAAACTAAAACTACTTGGCAACAAGAGATACTGTAGTTATGGTTAAAAGAAATCAACTTGACTGAAGCTAGGAGACGGGATGCTAACCACAAGAGGTCACTTGTAAAGAAACTGTAAACATGGACCTAAATAACCCACGCTATTGTTTTCCTGGAAAGACAGTCTCTTTATTAGCTTTCTATTTCTGTTCCACTGCCACCTTGTTGATCCTGCAGCTCTACAAGATAAAACTTCTTCTGTACGAGTTTGTCATTTCCTGCAGAGCTGCCAAGAATCCACAGTCCTGGCAGGAGACCAAGCAGGCCTCCCGTTATGCGTTATATTGATAAAATAATGCAATAGTCGGTCGCAGATGGACTGGAGGCAGCTGGGTCTCAGGAGGGAAACAATGCAATTACTGTCGGCCCACACAGGCGGTTCAGGGGAAATTAAATGCTTATTGCTTGTTAGAGGCAGGAACGCAAGAGATAAAAAAAAAATTAAAATCTCTCCTGTAATAGAAGGTGGGTTGGTGTTGTTTAATGAAGTGGCCAAAGGTAACTTAGTAAAGGAAGAGATTGTTTCAGATGGTTGGTGGTTCCAGAAAAACACAATGTTAAACTTGTTAAATGAGTAAAAGAACATGATCCAACCACTAATTTAAATTCTGGACAGGCTTCATTTAGCTTGTGTTATACTGAATCAAAGGAAATGTGTAGGAAATGATGCACATGATATTTAGACATTTTCGATTTAATGTAATGATGCAGCTGTAAAAGTTGCAGCAATGGCTGTGAATATGTGGTGGTGATTAAATATTAATATCCTTACAGTAAGGAGCATATAATAAGACTAAACACATGCCAGAATAATAAAAAGTCAAGTATTTGAGGCCCAAAAAACACCATTTACCGCAGAAAGTAGAAGTTTAAAACATTTGGTATTTGGGGAATTTTATCAGCACAGAGCGGTTATTCAACAGTTTGGGGGCCTGATACAACAAATACACAATAAGAATTTAAAGTTTAATGTATCGGGGGGAGACTCCTAGTAGAGCGTTGTTGAAGAATCTTGTTTAGTGTTGGTATAACGTGGGCATTAAAGCTCACCATTGGATGCCGGAGCCTAAACAGGGACTGTTTCAATACATCGTGTCTATACCGGCTCGCTAGTGGAAGCAGCACATTAACAGAGCAGCAGAACCAGTCTATATCCCACTGTAGCTATCCCTCTAGCGTCATTTCTGGAGGCTAGAAGGAAGAGGTGGAGCTGAAAGAAACCTGGTTACTAAAAACAACCTTTCAAAGCTTCCACACCACTAATTATACATAACTTTAATCCTTAATATAATTTAAACGTGAGTTATAAAAAAATTCACCCTTCATACAGTTGTCATGAACGGGGAAATTAGCTATAGAGACCAAAAGTGTTCTTTGTACCAGGCTGTAAACATGTTTATTGCTGCTGTAAAGTTGGACATTTTAATATGGTTTTTAGCCATGGGGGTTACCGCTTAGGTTACGTCCCTGGTTCAACTCAGACAGGGATTCTTTGTTGTATTTCTCCCTCTGTTTTTCATTTACTATCTTCTCTCCACTCTCAGTGAATCAGAGTGAGCACAGGAATATTTATTTTATTATCTTTATTCTATATTTCTATATTACTATATATAGTCATCTATTGCTGAACCACGTGTGTGTATTTACTCAGGCGGTCAGCTCTGAAGGGGCTAAAAAATACGACGTCAGTGAAGAAGGGAATTAAGAAAAAAAACAGTTGGAGGTCAAGGTCGTTTTCAAGGTGGCCTTAAAACACAAGTGTGTGTGTGTGTGTGCTGGGGAACACAAGCAAGCATTTAATTGTGAAACAAGGAGAGCTCTTCTTCATTCTCCAAGCCTCCACACTTCTGGTGTCTGCACGCTGCCCACGTCCGCCTTTCCCCGAGAAGCAATTAAGAGAATCAAACGCCCTTGACCGCTGTTTCCCACCGGGTCCACGGAGGCTCGATTAAAAAGCCCCAAAACGCGCCGCCGTGGGTCAAACTGACCATGGCGGTGTTTGAGAACAACATTATCCGAAGCAGATTGTGTTTGTGCGCTCGGGAAAGAAAAACATGGTTCTTCCCCTTGGAGGCTGACGTCTAACTGTGTTTTTGTGCCGGGCGCTGAGTCACGCTATTAAACTGACAAACCCCGACTCTGCTGACGGACATTGTGTTTGACAGGATGCTGCTGCTAGAAGGAGGGAGGTCGGCCTCTAAAGGGGCAGAAAACATCATCAGAACAAATACCCACCTGCCATTTACAGGATGTTTCTAAAACAGCCTGTTGAGGGAAAGATTTTCTGATAAATCATTTACACCAATTCAACTTTTTGCCTAATTTTAGCTTCTAGTTTCGTTTTTTTAAAAGGCAGATTTCCTGTTTGTTTCAGTCTCAGCTGTTTTCTTCAAACAAGCTCTGATAAACCAAATGGTCGTAGGTAATGAAAATATCCTTGATTGATTGTTGGACATGTTAATAATTAAAAAACTACGCAACACAAAGAGAACAGTGCTTTT